TTGTGATTGGCACTTGGCACTTGGCAAGCTATAGAGAGAGAACGACGATCCTCTCCTGCTGTCTTATTCAGCCAATCACAAGCAGCTATACGCATGTATATATGTTCTAAACCGTTTGTTTACATGCAAGAAATGTTGCCTGATTTTGGCTAGAGGGGGCGCAACCTCTGTATCGGCTCGGAGCGAATAGGCGCTGCAGCTGTGGGCGCGAGTGAGAGAGAGCTAGCTTGCGCCGATGCAGAAGATGGTTCTCGGGGCTAGCTGTTGCTTCCTGTGCGAGCGGCCTGTTTGGGCGCAAGGTGTCGAAGGCGCGCTGGACGGTGCTGCTACAGATCAGCCTTTATTCCGTATGTTACTTTCGTATAAGTCCAAGAGCACGCAGGAGCCGACAGGATTGATCCCGTTTCAAGAGCATTCAACGGTCGCATAAGAATTTTAACAAATTAGTTTTGGACTTGGATTTCGGTGAGGCCAACTTCGACTATCAACGTAAAAAACGAGCTTCAACAATCTCACAGTATGTGAAGTCGCTTAATTAGTAACATAATACATCAGTATTTTACAAATCAGGTAAAACATGAAATATCCTCCTAATCGTTTGCATGTTGCTCATTATGTATGTATATTGTTAGCAAGATGATAAGAAAGTTACTTTTACTATAATAAATATTTTACTTTGGATTAGATCTGAATCAAAAAGTACAACTTCAGGCGAAGTTAATGTCATTCTTAAAATAAAAAAAACAGTACTAGAATCCCAGACATTTTGTCTCAGTTATTTTATCAGAGTAACTTCACAAATATTATACATATAAAAACAAGCATAAGATGATTATTTATATGCTCTAGGGACTAAGTATTTTTTATAAATAATGTTTTTTCGAATTATTAGTCTAAACAATTTTTGCAAGACTTCGTAGACAGCAATAAGATTTATGAGACTGTCAGGCCTGATGAAGTTAATGATTTCAAAGAAAAAAGTATAGAGGAGGACAAAGAAGATAACAAAAACGCACAACAGGTGAGTTTAACACTTCTCTAATGAATTACATTTGAAGCTACTATTTCTTTTTATTCAAGTTGCCTTCGAAATCAATCACTACACCTTTGCACTTATCTGCAGCAGAGCCAAACTTTCCCAACTCGACGTCCATGAAAGCCCTCAATCGTATGACAAAGAGTCAAACTGGTGGATGCCCATGGAAACTTTCAGACTGTACTTTTATTTGTAGTTATATATGATCTCCAGCGTTGCCTGCATCCTACTTCGCAACTCAGCGCTAAGATCTTTGGTTCAGCTCTTCAGCTTTTGCATCTTAGTTATTTTTCTTCCTAACGTGATGTCGATTAGAAGTGTGCTTCTTAGTGTGCATTTATATATTCTTTTATCAATATGCATCACTTTGTCATATCAGTCTTTCATGTTCACGATCAGTATCTTTTTATTGACTGCACAATGACCGTGGGCCTCCTTGATGCCATTCTTAATGCTATAGCTCTTACTTTAACTAGACGTACTATGCATGTAAGCTTTTACAATTACTTTCTGATATTATTTTTTGAAATTAATTTATTATGCAGAAGTATCTTCATGAAGAGCCACAAAATATCCCGTTGAAAAAAGATAACAAAGACGAAATAATCCAACAGGTATACACATACTCAAATCAAAAGAATTTGCAAATTAGAATGCTTAAGAAACTTAATCATATTGTTAATAGCAAGTCAATGTATTGATTCATGACTTCAGAAAAATTTTGCTGTTTGCTAATCTTCCAATGGTAAAGGTCGTAGCTATTAGTAATGAAACGAATCAGTTATAAAAAACGAAATTTGAAACTGTAGACAGAAAAATTATAACGAAATTAAAACTACGTAAAGAAGTACCACAAGTTAGAAGTCCAAAAGGAAGCGAAAAAACTGTCACAGGTTTAAAAAAAAAAGTTAATTCCAAAAGGATTTCTGAAACGTTCAGTTTACGATAAGGTTGATTCTATGCTGAGCTGGATGAAATGAAAGGACGGAGCAAAAAAAACGCTCTGGATGGAGAATACCTGATTACAATTGATCATATAAAAAATTTGCACAATAATATTCAGCATTTTTTAAAGAATTTCGTTAATTTGGATATTTTAAAAAATTATATGCAAAACATTCCCTATATTTACATAATAAAAAAAGGCAAATGAAGCAATTAAAAAGCTGCAATACCTTTGTGGTACTTGCTTAAAAGGATTGAAGGGAAATTCGATAATGTGCTATAGCTGTATGATTTAGTATGATTTTTTATGTGTGAAAGTTAGTCATGCTGATAGCAATGACTGGTTCTGTCCCAAATACAAATTCATTTTTAGTAAAAAAAGAAATTACTATTAGTATGCAAGTCAAAGTTAATCTTTCTTAATTACAAATCGCATTCTAAAGTTGACATCAAAGTGAATTTGAAGTTCAAAAAAAAGTAAATTTTTATTTTCTATCAACAGTTTCTAAATAAGAGTTAATTTTTACATAAACACCAACTCACCAAACTTGTGATGGCTTCGTATTGCCTTTCTCCAACGAGTCTTCTATTAACTTGATTGTGTGTTCACTAGCTAGGCATTTCACACTACTGTCGCATAATATTAATTTTGTCGGTAGGATTATTATTTTTATGTATTTTTCTGAGCTATTGTTTATGTGCCTTTACTCCTATTCATTATAAAATAGTAAAGTCCAAGTAACCTTTTTGACTCTAATGTCAGTTCATACAATTTGTGTATATAAGTACATGTGTTTAATACATTATAACTAGCAAAAAATATATTTTGAGTCACCAAACTGTTTGCCTTAATGTCAGGAATGCTTGCTCATTTCAAATTTGAGGCTTGTATATAATTCCATTGAATGGCATCGATGAGTGGCTAAGTCATTCAGCGCTAGCTTTTTAGTTCTTTTGATAACAAAGAACAAATTATTTATCCAATGCATTTTTTTAGGACTGACATTTGTTCATGTTTCTCACTATTTTAGGAAAAAAATGTCTTATCACTATTGATCAATTTTGCTACTTGGATTAAATATTTAAATTTTCCATTAAAAGTCAACATATCAGTAATTGTTTTTCAAATATATCTGATTTTTACAATACATTGCCAGTTGTAGATTACAGTAAAAATTTGGTCTTGTTTTACTAATCAGAGTACATTAGTGTACATATTGGAAATGGTTGACGTATAGTCAATCCACTTGTTGATGTATCCTTAATTCGAATGATGTCAATAAAATCTTATATAATAAAAAAAAAAAAACCACAAAAAAATCGCCCTAAAAAAATTAAAGGTATTATAACCCAATCAAATAATAAATTCAACTTATCTGAACTTAGTAAATCAGTCCCCATCCACTGAAATAAATTTTTTATAAATTTTATTGGAATAGCCCATAAAAATTACCGTGCAGAACGGTAAACGTGGGACTAGGTCGCCACTCCGGACTTTTTACCTAACCGTTACAATTTTTACCGTTACGCCCTGTAATAATCATCGGCCGCCCAATAAAAGTTCCCCTCACGACTCACGAGTGGACGTTCACTGTTGTTAAAACAGAGACCGTAGTTGAATTGCATTGTATTTGAAGCAATAAAATTATTATAGTATTATACATTCTTTATTATAGTATATACATTCTTTAAAAATCTTATGTATATCGGACAGTCCGCTTGCAATGTCAAATCAGCTTAGGTTACAAGTGTTTAGTTAAATATAGTTAAGACGTTTCAATTATTGTACAGAAATATTTATTTAAAATGGTACAATGTCCAACCAGTTACATTAATAGTTTTTAAAAAACATTTAACACTTAACAAGTAGTTTAAAAAAAAACATTTTTTGTCGCATCTTGTACTGACAACAAATACGTTAACTGTGATCTCTGTTTAACCTACAGTGAACTTTAGCTTGTGAGTTATGAGAGGAATTTTTGTTAGGCGCCCGATGATTTTTACTGGGCGTAACGGTAAAAATTGTTAAGGTTAGGTAAAAAGTCCGGAGTGACGACACGGTAATTTTTATGGCCATTTACAACAATATTTATAAAAAATTTCTGTGAGTATCCACATTTAATTGGAAAGATCACAATATTATTTTAAAAGAAACTTTAATAGCCAATTAATTATGCTGGATGCGGTTATTAGATTCGCTAGCTTTAAAATTAATATGACAATTTCTAGACCAAAAAATTTATTTACGATCTTACACAAGTGTATGTACATAAATTTATAACATCAAGTAACGAGCGACATGACAATATAAGTAGCAGACGACGCATAGGGTACATATATTCTTTCTTTCTCTTACTTTACCCATACTGTGCCCATACGTACATACGTTCACGCATGTAGTACATACAGGCCAATATGTGTGTTTTATTATTTGTTGCTATCATGCTATAAGTTTTTTTATCGTCATTACGCACAATTTTTGAGTACCAGTTCCCATTTTTCAGCACAGTACCTATACACGGATTAAAACCCGTATGCCGTGCACATTATGTACTGTACACGGTTTACAGTGAAAACAGTGTACCGTGCACGGTACTTGCAGTAATTGCACTTGACGATATTAACATATTCGTGTACGGTACACGAATACATGGTGCACGGTGCATGGTACTGCGCCCACCCAAAGTATCAGGAGTATAATTAACACCGTGTACCGTGCACGGTGTACTGTACACGGCGCACAGTATCGGGCCCTCAGTCACTGCCTTTTTAATTCCATCCCTTAACTTTGTAATATCCTACACCTTTACTGTTATTTTATCATTCGTTTATTTAATAATGTACTAATTCCTTTTTATACAGAGTAATGAATAAACATACATTCTAAATCCATTTACAGTGATTTTATAGAACATGATGTAATCAACTATGCCAAAGAAAATCCAGGAGTTGCAGTTTATGTTAAGCCGAGAAGACACAGAGCTCCTATTATCAAAGCTGAATATCGTGAGTAGTATCATAAACTTACTACAATTTTTACTCTTGAATAAGAAACGTGATTTCACTGCTGTGCACAAGTTTTGTGACTTGAGAAATGTCTACCCAATTTTGCTTAAATTAAATAAGTTAAAGTAGATTCATTCAGCTGAAAGAAACGCTATGTTTTGGGACATTAGAAGTTTTATTAAAAAAAAAAACATTAAAACCTATTTGTTATGAAAGTTTAAAATAAAATTGATTTTGCCCTGTAACTTTACAAATCAACGTTTTACATAAGTTCTGCTGTAAAAAAGTTTTGGATCTCGATGAAACACAATTTTCTTTTTATAAGTAGTCACAGCTATGGCTCCAAATTAAGAACATTATTATAGTAATTGCATAGATTTTGTTTAATCAACTGTTTCGAAAATTCAACTTTTTAGAATTTTATAATTTTTCAGAATGTATAATCGTAGGAAATTATAAAAATCACAAAATGTTCCACAGAAAAGCGTATTTATAAATAATAGATAGAAATTAGGCATGTACGTGTACGTGGATAATGGAAGGCAAATTAATAGAATTAGAATAAAATTGATAGATTTTGATGAATAGAGAACTTGCATGCAGCAGGATTCAGTCAACTAATACTTTATATTGCTAGCATTATGTCAATTGAACATGTATGAGTTATAATATCACCAATAAATGGTACATTAATCAAAAAATTAAATATTTTTCGAGCACGTTATTCAAGCTCTCATTCAAATCGATATCACGTGACAGTAACGTAAGAACTTCTGAATTTTTAAGGTTAAATCGACTTGCGATTAATGACGTCAGGTTTTTCTTCAAGATAGCAGACTGTTTTTGTTTACTGAGAGAGTTGTTGACACTTGACGTATCAGTACTAAAGATATCATGAATTTTACTGTAACTACGGATAATCAGACTATCAAAAAATTCTTTCAAAATACTTGTGGTTGCATACGTAGTGATCCTCACAACAGTGACTAATTTTTCTCAATTTTTTTTCTCGATAATTAACAGCATCGCACCAAAGTTTTCTTTTTAACGGGTTGGTTAAGACGACTAAAAAAATCTTTGATTGATTCTTTGCTGTAGTATTTGTACATCCTGGCAAAAAACAGTACTTGTACCAGTTAGAATTAGAATTAACTTCTTTTTCGTTCATTTTCCAATCATTTGTTAGTTGACAGTTGTACGTATAACCTTATTTATACCTTATATTCAATCATCCAGATAAACAAGCAGACGACACAGCTAGTATCTGCTTTCTATATTAGTTTATTCGATTTCAAAGATCATCATTACATGACGAACGAACCCACATAATTCAGAAGTTCCTACGTCATGATCACATGACATCGATTTAAATTTCAATAAATCATCGTATACGTTTAAAAGCCTTAAAAAACTGTCTGAAAAGTTTACTCAGGGCATTTTTAGCTATTGAAAAAAAAATAAATCGGAGAACATGCAAGTTCTCTATTTTATTTCGCGTTTATTTATTTATTATTTTGCTTTGTTTTCATTTATTTTTTGAAATCTTTCACCTAAAACCTGAAGTGTAGAACCTAATTAACGTTTTTTTTTGATTTTGAATAGGTGTGAGTAAAGGAGGTGCGCGAAATAAAAACGAGTATTTTATAGAAAGACAAAACGTTTATTTAATTGAACTGCCGACCGACGTGAAATACAACTGACTTGATACAGTTTACAGACTTACTACTGACAAAACTAACAAAGACAATAAAGAGAGCTGACGAAAGTTGTAGAAGGCACGGTAGCTTACGCTGTACTTACTATAGGGCCCGCAAGTATCACCTTGCCTGTGGCGCTGTCTTACACACTATATATACTGCCTATCGAAAAGTCGTACATGCCAACACTTCCTCCCGACTTAAGATAGCTAAGTATATTGAACAAAAATTATAATTCAAAATAGATACAAAGAACAATTTTTTTTTTTTGTTTTTTTTTTTTTGTTT